GTACATGTGATAGTAGCATTGCCATCGGTTTCATAAGCGTCTAATATAGTTAGAATATTTCCGTTGACGAAAATTCGCTGCTCGTTTTCAACGTTCAGATTATTGATTTCCCATATATAACTGTATGGTGCCGGGTAGGAGTCCACCTCTGCTGTTATTTGAACGGATTGACCAACCGTGACGTAAATAAAGGGGTCCATTTGTATGGTTGATTTATAATATACGGTGACCGGTCCTATTTCACACCTCTGTGTCTCAACTTCTCCGTAATTGTACACACACAGAATGCTTCTCCCATGATCGTCTGAGACAAATGTCCAGTTGTAAGCCACATCTGAGAGAGAGTCGTATAATCGCTCGCCGTTCAACGGTTGGTTTCTCCTTACCCAAGTCAAACTGGGCAGCGGCTCGGTAGCACCCCTATACACACACTCCACACGAAGTGTTTCACCTTCAGTATAAAAACTGTCCAGGTCTGTGGGAAAACACCTGGGGTAGGACGTCTCAGGTAAACTGTTTATTTGAATCACGGCTGTGTCCGAGTCCGACAACTGGCCAATCGTGTCAGACAATCTACACGCGTATTCCCCAGCATCGCTCACTGTCGTGTGTCTGATTTGTAAATAAAACTCACCCAACGAAGCGTTCCCAATGACAGAGTATCGCGACGGTTCGGTTACACCAAAAAAATTAACCAACCTCTGTTCTCTATACACCTCGAAATCTTTACTGAAGACAACGTCGTCCCGTACCCACTGTGCGTTAAAGTCGCTGGTGAAGTTCCCAAACGAACAGCGCAAAATAAGGGTGTCACCCTCTTCCAATGTTTCGCTGATCGGCTGATCCACGAACGACGGTGTACTTGGTTGCGTTGTCACGCTTGAGATCAGCGCTGCTAGAGAACACAGCAGCTTCCATCTAATTTGTTGACCAGCCATAGTGTTAGTGGTAATCTCAATACATAGTTTTCCGCTCTGGAATCAGACAGATAGATCACGGTTAGTTAACGTGGATAGAAATATAATTTACACTTTCAAGTTTGATGAGCGCGATCGGTGACGTCGGTCCCAGTACGCCCAACCCAAGACCCAATGCGACAGTGAGACTTTTTTTTGTGTGCATACGTATTTCTCATTTATTGTTTAGGGGTTGGCCCATACACGGACCGTATTCATATGTAAAACATGGTTTGTGTCACGACAATCGGAGATTGGGGTGATTTAAACGCGCTGGAATGTTATTCTAATGCAGCATTCAAGTACGTCAGTGAATCGAATACCGCTAGATAATAGTATGGTCCCAGTAAAACAGTGAATGTACGTAACCCGATATATCTTTACCTGCTATAACGCGTAATTACAGTCTCCCAGCTCCGCTCTCATAACGGCAATGTTTGTGTGGTGTGCTTGTTTATCGTATCTATGATACGGACACCGAAAACCATTCTCACGTACGTCTGAAAGGTCGGAGATCACGACTATATTGCGACTATGGCAAATGACATAGTTTTTTTTTCAGGGCCACTTGTATAAATTAACGTGTGCGGTGCAGTGAGTGTCGGTCGATGTTTTTTTACGATCGTGTGTACCTGTACTGAGCAACATATCAATATGTACATGCCGATGTATCGGTTGACAGAGCCGCTGCGAACACACATGTATATTCGAACATTCACATGATAGCGGCTCGTTTGTTACCGACGCTCCGGATATATAAGCGAGCTTATCTAACATATGCACTTGACTTTGCACTCCAGATACCCATATCACTGCTTATGTTATCTCACTAAGAAGACAACATGGCCCGTGGAAGCTGCCATATCGATCGTGACGGATCGCTGCATTGGTCAACTAAAATGCGAGGCCATAAAATGTACTGTACAGTGTCTTATGTAGAGTACCGCCGTAGCTTATTCATTGTGTGCATTGTGTATGAGAGAGGGCTGAGTGTAAGTCCTGGACAAAAAGAAGATCCTTCGTGAAACCTAATTATGCATGCATCATTGCGTCGCTATTTTTATCTTTCTTCAACTACATGTACTAGTATAGCGAGCTGGGTCTATTATGGGACACAACAAAGTAGCGTCCATCATTGGCACTCACGTGGTATTGGACATCCTGAAACTTTACTGTAAACATAACAAAACCGCCGGGGTTCCGGTTTTCGCGGCTCGTTCTTGATTCGTGTGTCTTGTAATTCTATACAGACCGGATTCACGACCAGTGGTGATAAGAGTGTCCTGTTACGGGATTTACTATTAGTGGTTTTACTCTCATGACTATTTCGGAATGATTGGTAAGGTCATTAGCCGAAACTAATTACCCACGAGGAAATAAAAAAGATACATCGCGCTCAGCGCGTTATAATGCATGTAGTATTAATTCGTGACGAAAGCTCATGTCCAAAATTATATATTCGTTGGTTATAGTACTTGTTTGCTCAAAATTATATATGTCATGATTT